CTTTCCGAATACAACTTTACGATACACTCAACTTCAACAATCGTGCTAAACAAACGCTATAACAACGAACGTCAATAATACTTCTGACTGCAGTTCAATTACTCACTATCTACACACACATTACCTTCCCCTCTTTTATATACCAGCCTACCCTATATCTAGGAAATACTAGAGCATTCGCCAAGATACGGGATAGTTCTAGAAACGTGGCGTCACTGTAGTCATGTGATCTCGATGACGCAACAATATTCCTAATTCGTTGGAAACTGCAGCATCATATCTTAGAAGTTAATAAATTGTAAAGTGAAGAAATTAGAGCTCAGATGCATCACAACACAGATAAATGATGTTTGAGATTTTTTTAAATATATATTTTAAAAATTAAGTTGAAACTTAAATAATATAAAAATTTTAATTACAAAATATGTTTTCATACCATTTTTATTGACATATGTTGATAACAAAGTTGTTTATTTAAATTTTGAATGTAATACTGAGTCACATGAAGAATTAAAAGATTTGTATTTTAAAAATGCTCATGATATGTGACACATGTAAAGTATTTATTTTGGTAATTCTTTTCTAAAAAACTAATATTTTGTTTCAGCAACCTGCAAATCAAATGTTTACTCCATCATATTCTGAAAAGGTCCAACAAGGTTAATCTGTTCTTAATCTATGACAGTATCAGGCATTCTATACTTTTATTCAAGACTGAGAGAAAACATATAGTTACAAAAAATTACAAATGTATTAAGGAAAGAAAAATCTTTAGACCAGCTTCAGAGTAAGCTAAATGGCTAAACAGAAACGTATAGAGTTTGTAAAGCTGTCATTTTTTATGATATCATCATCAGGGTGACATTAATAACCTCTTCCAGTGGTACTTGGCTTACTCTGAAGACAGCAAAGTCATCTATAGTGTGATCTGGTAAAAATTATGACTGCAACTTTAAAATGTTTCACTTCTGTCATTCCATTTTCTTCGAAATATTTTGACCTATTTTTAACTTACTTAGAAAGTCAGATAAATTAAAGTACTTTTGGAACATTCTGTTGTAGTTGTCTTTCAAAATTTGTAGTGTACTGAAAGGATTTGCATATTTTAATAAAAAGTGTAGAAAAAACGACCTTTACACTCCAGATATATATAATTTTTTATCATTGAACTAATGTATCACCTTTGCAGTTTCCTGGTTAAAAAAAAAACATTCTATTCCAGTGGCTGATAAGCTTTTCTGTTCTGAAATATATACATATGAAAGCTACATGATTATTTTATTTGAACAACTAAACTTAGTGAATAAAAGTGAAGCCTAGTACAAGCACATCTTATATTTGTGAAGATCATATGGGTCACACCCACACACTTTGCTTGTGGTGTTTATGACAGATGGCTAATGGGCTCTCTTCAGGATTCATTACTTTTGATAGTGGTCTCAAGTACAGGGAATTAAGCCATAAAATTAAAAAACAAATGTGAAAAGATTAATAGCTGAAATTCTAAATACAAGAAAACTGAAAGAAAAAAAGTATTGCTCATATTATTTCATGGTTTTCAACTTTCCTTGTACACTGATGATTTCAATACAGTTAGTGTTGGGGTAGAGAAAATGAGAGATAAAATATAAAGTTTCATACATTTTATTTATTTAGGAGGCTCTAGAGGATTTGCAAATGTAATATAAAACTTTAAGATGAAAAGAAATATTTTTACTTTTAGCATGAAAATCACCTTTCATGTTGACTGGTTCAATAAAAGCTTCATATGTTCATAAACAAATCTTTATATGTCCTGATATAATAGACTGTTTAGTGTAGATAGTACTAATTAATTTATTTTTGAGTTAAAATTTTATGATTGTTTATTTCTTTTCTTTTTTTTATAAGAGAGTTAAAAGCAGATGATTGTTGGAAGATGCGTCTATAATTCATATATGTTTAGACTATCGAACGTCACGTGCAATACATTGACATCGAGAATATAGAGATTTATAGAAGGCAAGCAGATGATTAAGTGATAAACATATAAATAGTGAGACAAGTGAAAACAACAGACAGACAGACAAAACAAGAGACCAGAGAATGGGAAGTAGAAGTGCGGCCAAAGAAAAGGTTAGAAAATTAAAGTTAACAACTGTAGGAGTGGATAGCCTAACAACTGATATGTTAAAGTGAGATTAACAGTTTTGTGACACTTTAGGAAAATAATTGATTTTGTTAATAGGTGTTCTAAAGCAATTGAACCTGTCTTTGTGGACTTTGACAAAAATCAGACGATTATTGGAAGTAAGCATAAATGAGAAAAAGCAGACAAGTATCAGAAGTTCAGGATACAACTGCAATAGCTCTACAAGGTAGAGTAAATTAATTATACATGGAATACTAGTGTGATAGAAATAGAGAAAGGTAGTTCAGCTTGCCAACTAAAATTCTAAAGCAACTGAATATGTTTAATGGACTTTTGACAAGAAGTAGAGAACTATATATAGTGTTTATGATATGCCTATAATTTCTATAGTGTAAAGAATTTGTTGTACATACATTTAACTTGTTCCAAATATATATATATATATATATATATATATTATTT